AAATCAAAGTATGCTAAAGAAAAAGATGTTTTGCTGTTCAGAAATGAGACACAGTACAGACTGGTTGGAGACTGGCCCTTTGAAGATTCACAGTGAAAAAACTGTGAGAAGGCACTAAAGTCATCCAGAACTCCTTAATGACACTTAAATGATCCTTCAATTTTATTATTCTGTTCTGTTATTCTTTTTAGGATCACATATATCCACCCCCTCAAACCCAAAGAAAGTCTGGAATGGTATTGGATCTCCTGTCATAGGCAGGAGGTTGGACTACAAGACCTCCAATGTCCCTTGCAATCCTATTATTTCATGTACTATGTGCTAAGTACATTTTGTGAATCAGTCTTTAGAAGGATATACTTATTAGTGGGATATGGACTATATATGTTGGCTTCTAAAGTAAACACGATATTAGAACAATCTAAACATACATGGGGTATGTGTGTGTTTTCATATGTAATTTCATTTATTTTATTTAAAAGACATACATGGTCACTCGTCTTGTAGAACAAAACTCTTGCTTACAACAATAATGGTCAGAATTTGCCTTCTGTGTAGATCTATATAAGGTACATTAAAACCCCTTTGAACTGAAGCTCTCTCAGAATAACTAAGACCACAACAGTATTATTATTACCATTATTCATGGTGCAGTTGTAATGTTGCAGGTGTCTCATTAAAAGTGTTGAAAGAAAGGTCATAAGAACAGGCCTGTTGTCGGGGCACAATGTTATCTAAATGATTGTTGCCATATCTAAATTACTAAACTTTGCAAACTTCAGTTAATTCATATTTGCGTGTAAGGGTGAATGAATTCATGTAAAAAAAATCAGTGAATTATCATACTTTAGCAGAGATTTTAAAAAATAGAAAAATTCTGAATTGAACCCAAGTCTGAATTGGAACCCCACAAACTCAGCTGAAATAAATATATCAATAGCAAAGGTGATATCTCAAAACAAGTCCCAAAGGGTTTGACCTTCCTTGCAGCATTGTTTTTTTTTCCATCTTGCCTGTTTTGACCCCACATGGAAATACTCCTGCTAAATATTCTTATATCTCTTGTTTTGGAAAGTTGCATTCTTCTGAAATTTCTTAGGAGAAAAGTTTTGTTGAAATGATAGGTTGGAAAATTGTTCTCTTCTACTATATGAAAGAAAATCTAATATTAAGCAGATATTTAAATTCCCCATAATTATCTAATTGATGATGATTACTTGGAAAACTCCTCCAGTTGACAAGGGATTTTTTGGTAGCACTAACAAAACAAAATCAAGATTGGTGATTCTTCTTAATCTATGCTGGAACATAGGCACAAGGATTTTAAAGCAATTGGGAGCTCTGCAGTTATTAATCAAGCTGATATTGCTAGCCATGCAAGGATGCCAACACTTGAATGATTGAAATAACACAGGTGACTTGATGTTAAGAAGATGTAAATGCAAGATCATGAATTTTATTCTCTGGATTCTCAAACTGCTTCCATGGACATCATGTGATGTTCTAGTTGCTAAATGCATGAACAGTGATCCACGGAACATCCACCATAAATATTATCAGTCAGGGGATGTTATCATAGCTGGCATTAGTTCACAAAGCTTCATGTTTTCCAATCCTCTCAACTTTGAAAGGCATCCCTCTTTTGAAGTCATTGATGATCTCCTGTAAGCAATTGGTATTTTTAATCAAACGGTTCAGGTGATAAATGTCTCATAAAATTTGCACCCATGACTTTTCAGTCAAAATAAGGGACTTACTATCCTTTAAGTTTGAATGAGCTATAAATTAATATTCATCCAGTGAAAGAGACTCCACTTTACATCATGTTCCCAAGAAAGATGATCAGTTAAACTTTATATGGTTGGACATTACTGAGGCTCATTCTACCCTCCCCACTTCTTTGTAACATATTACTTTATTCTCATTATACATCTTCTAGAACTTTCAATAAATTTTAAGAGAATTATTCCTTTCCATTTCCCTGAGCATCCAAGGGGGATTGATACTAACTTATTTGGAATATATTTTATTTGTATAGTCTTGATTGGCCAAGTGTGATTGGACACACAAGGAATTTGTCCCTGATACAGAAGTTCTTGGTGCACATACAAATAACAAAGTGGTAAATTATAAATCATAAGCTAAAACCATAAATCGTAAGGTATAAGATTTCCATGATAAAAACATTCCATCTTTCATCAAGGACAACTGAAAGTTATTGAAAATATAAATCAGTAAAACTAACAATATCAGGGTGGGATTTGAATATAAGGTGTGGCAGAAGCTGAATTTGCAACCAAGCTGCATTCTTGAAAGATGGCTGGAATAATAAGAAACTCAAATTTCAAAATGAGGATGTTCAACCAATGGAAATGCTATCTCTAGGATTAGGGCATAAAGTCTAAACTATATTTCCTGCTAAGGTATGTCGTTGGTAGAACTCTTTCCATTCATACCTATGGTCACTTATTTTTCTCTAACAGATATATTCTGGTTAAAAATGAAAGTTAACACTGACATGTATTTTTGGAATCAACACCTAGATAAATATAGTTAGCTGGAGATTTAAAAGCATCTCACTGAAATGCATGCATTTTTATGCTAGATTTTGAAAAGGGTTTGTGCTAAGTGTTGGAATATTTGTGCCTGAGTTCCATCATGAAGTTGCCCAGATATCTTTGTTGTTAGTTGCAGAATTGTGTCTGCCCCATCAAGACCACATGGACAACGTTCCTCCGGGCTTCCTCTCCTCTACCATCCTCCGAAGTCCATTTAAGCTCATGCCTACTGCTTCAGTGACTCCATCCAGCCACCTCATTCTCTGTCGTCCCCTTCTTCTTTTGTCCTCAATCGTTCCCACCATTAGGCTCTTTTCCAGTGAGTCCTTCCTTCTCATTAGGTGGCCAAAGTATTTCAGTTTCATTCCAGATATCTTATGATTCTGTAATATTAAAAATACAGTAACAATATGTTAAAGGAATAGGAATTTATCAAGACTTGGGTAGAGATAATTCAATGGTGGATGTAAATCTCATTACAGATATTTGACCCAGACCTACCAGCACATCTTGGCTCTTGTCTTTGCTGTGAAGGAGATCAATGATGATACTCAGATGCTACGCAACATCTCTCTGGGTTTCAACATTTATAATGACTACTTCACTGGAAGCTTAACTTATCTTGCTTCACTGGAGCTCCTCTCCACATGGAGCAAGTTCATTCCAAACTATAAATGTGATGCTCAAAGTACTACTGTAGCTGTGATTGGGGGGCCTGACTCCAAAGCATGTCTTTTCATGGCAACCATTCTGAGCATCTACAAGTTACCTCAGGTAAGGTTGACACCTAGAGCATTAGATTTTAAAAGACATGTGGGGCTTACTTGTTTTGTTCATTAAGAATTTTTATTAATTTGGGACAAAGGTGTCATCCTTATAAAGGGGGTGTTTATTTTGTGCATTAAATATGAATCCTGAACCCGAATCTTTTAAAAATTATTTTAAAATAGCACATCAAAGCATCCATCCTGGAGTTCTGAGAAAGGGGCATAGATCCAATCTGACCCAGTCATCAATCAATCTGAGGTTTTTTTCTTCTGAGTTTTCAGACTTGTGCTGGAAGCCAGCTTCAGCAATGTAGACACATTCTTCTAGAGATAAGTTCCCTGAAGATGGTTTCCAGCATGACTCCAAAAGCTTGGAAGATTAAACTTCTGATCCTGGTGATCAACCCAGATTGGATCTTGCAACATTGTCATGGGATATTTGTTTTCATTCATGAAGGGGACAAAATTTGAAGCAGGCAGTGCTTCCAAGGCCTCCACTTGTCAATAGGAAGTGAAGGCTTATGGAGTTGGCTGCAAAGAGATTTCAAAGCCACAGCCTCTACCAGAGGGGAGTCAAATATGCCACTTTGTGGACATGACTTCATTATCAAACCCCTGTTTGTTTGTAGCATGTAACCTCCTTTTCAACGACAGTAAACTTGGAGAAAGTAGTGCCATAAGAATGCACTTGCTCATTTTGTCAAGTCATACTACTAAAATAAGTATACGACCTCCATTTTCTTGACAAAAAGGGCTATGCTACTTCTACCAGCAAGGATATGATTTAATTCCTGAGAGGAACATACTCCAGTTCTGTCTTAACACCACTCTCCAAATCATTATAATATTTTATTTATTTTATTTTATTTGTCAATTGCTTACAAGATAATAGTTATAAGCATGAGTAAGAATACAGGAAATAGGTACGAATAAATGGGGACAATAGGACACAGATGGTAGGCACAATTGTGCACTTATGCACACCCCTTACAGACCTCTTAGGAATGGGGTGAGGTCAATAGTGGATATTTTGAGGTTAAAGGAGTGGAGGTTAAAGGATGTAACAACAGAGTCAGGTAGTGCATTCCAGGCATTGACCACTCTGTGGCTAAAGTCGTACTTTTTCCAATCAAGTTTGGAGCAGTTTACATTGACTTTGTATCGGTTGTGTGCTCTTGTATTGTTGCAGTTGAAGCTGAAGTAGTCATGGACTTGTAGGACATTGTAGCAGATAATTTTGTGTACTACGCTTAAGTCCAACCATAGGCGGCATGGTTCAAGTTTGTCTAAGCCCAAAATTTCAAGCATGGCGACATAGGGTATTCTGTTGTGAGCAGAGGACTGTAGTACTCTTCTCGTGAAATAGTTCTGGACTCGATCAATTGTATTAATGTCCGATATACAGTGCAGATTCCAGACTGATGAGCTCTATTCAAGTATTGGTCTAGCAAAAGCTTTGTATGCTCTAGTTAGCAATTCAATATTTCCAGAGAAGAAACCTTGTAAGATTAGATTTACAATTCTTAATGGATAATATTCTTGATTGATATAGTCTACATATTTAAAAAGTACCAATTGATGTTGCACACTGTCCATGTCCTGATTGAAAAGATTACTGTCCACTGTCACAGTCCTAATTTGTTCTTTTCCCATTCTTGGTAATTATTAGGATGGAGATTTATTTATTGTAGCATATGAGTGACTTTTGCAACAAGTAGTAAAAAACAAATGAAAAGAACAAACTTTCTGGAGAACCAGTAGCAGAAATTTTGAGTAGGTTGGAGAACCGGCAAATACCACCTCTAACTGGCTCCATCTCCATCTATTCTTTGCCTCCCAAGTCCCAGCTGATCAGCTGGGTCTTCTTTTGTTGTCCTGCACAGGAGAATAGAACTGGAAAGCAAGTTAATGTGGTGAGGAAGGAATGGGATTTTGCAGTATCCTTCCCCTGGAATGGGGTGAGAATGGAGATTTTACAGTATCTTTTCCCCTGCCACCAAGCTATATCCACAGAACCAGTTGTAAAAAAATTTGAATTGCTCCACTGCTAAGAGGAATTCATCTTTTCCACTTTTTTTTTCCAAAATGCAAAATAGATAATCAACCTTCAGAAAATAAAAGTTTGCCTACTCAAATCCTATGTACTTAGACTTCCTTTTTTTCCTTTTTTTGTAGTTTGGATATGGATCTTCTCCTTTGATTAATGACCCATCCCAAAAAGCCTTCTTCCAATGGATGGTCCCTAATAGAAACCAACAATATACAGGGATGCTTCAACTGCTTTTGCTTTTCAGATGGACTTGGATTGGTGTCATTTTCATACCGGATGACAATGGCTTCTGGTTTGCACAGAAAGAACTTCCTAAGTTTTCTCAAAGTGGTATCTGTTTTGAGTTTATAGAACCATTTGCTAATGTGTATTTCAAAAGTGGCATTCATGAAATGATGGAATCATGGACCAAATTGTATATCTTCATAAGCGATAGCTCTAGCAGTGTTGTAATTTTACATGGTGAAATTCACACTATAATCTTTTTGAGAATGTTTCCCAGAGTTTTGGAACTTGAAGACAAAGAAATGAAGACAGGGAAAGTCTGGATGATGACCGCACAGATAGAATTCACTTCTGTTCCCTTTCAACGATCTTGGGATATAAATATCCTTCATGGTTCTTTAGCCTTTGAAACTGAGTCAAAGGAGGTGGTAGGTTTTCAACATTTTCTTCAGATGAGAAACCCTAATGTGGAAACCAGAGATGGTTTTATTAAGGACTTTTGGAGACAGGCATTTGATTGTTCCTTCCCAACTTCTTTGGAAGAGGAAAACGTTTTGAATCTCTGCAGTGGGGAGGAGAAGCTGGAGACTCTTCCTAGGTCTGTCTTTGACATGAGCATAACTCCTCATAGCTATAGCATCTACAATGCAATTTATGCTGTGGCCCATGCATTGAAATCCATGAGCTCATCAATGCTCAAACATAGAACTATATCAGAGGAAGGACAGAAGAATGTTCTGAATTCACTACTTTGGCAGGTAATGTCTTGATTAGATTAGATTAGATTCAACTTTATTGTCATTACCATAGATCCTAGCAATGAAATGCAATTAGCATCCAGCGTGAGTGCAAGACAACAGTAAAATATAAATATATGTATGCAAATATGCAAGGTATCTATGAATATGTCAATGGAAAATGTATGTATGCAAGCACACAAAGATAAGTGTGACTGCACATATATGAACATGTACAACTGTACAAAATGTTAATGGACACATTGAATATAAATACAGATGCACAGAGAATTATACAAAACACATCATATATTATCAAGGGAAACATCAGCATATGTGTGGGGACAAACAAACTGAGGAGTTCAGCAAGGAAACCGCTGTATGGCAAAAGCTGCTCCCTAGCCTGCTGGTCTTAGACTGCAGGCACCTGAACCTCCTCCCATATGGAAGAAGAGTAAACAGTTTGTGGGCTGGATGGAAGGGGTCCTTAACGATGCTGTGAGCTTTACGCAGACATCATTACCTCTGAATGTCCACAATGGCAGGAAGTGGAATCCCTATAATGTGTTGGGCAGTTTTCTCCACCCTCTGTAATACCTTTTTTTCTTTTATAGATCACAAATGCAAGGAAATTGTCAATAGTTAAGTTCCTATCCTCATGAATGCTTGTCCACATACACAGAATTCTTCATTTTATAATATTAACATTATTCTCCATTATATGATGATAATGATGTTATCCACTCAGATATATCCAACATCTTTTTTAAGTCAAGTTTTTTATTTATATATAAGTATTTTGAATACAGTGTATTGCCGGGACATTTCATTTTACAAAAGACAAAAAAAGATAAAATTTCAGATATATTGACAGTACTAATGATAATACACATAATCATCATAATCATATTTATAATTATATTATCTTATTTATAATCCTGTTAATTATGCTAGCATACTTATAATTATCGAGAACATTCATATTTTACTCATAACA